GCTCTGCTGGACACCAGCTTCTCGGCCAGCGTGCGGTTGCCACCTCCCAGCACATGTGTCAGGAAGGGGACAGGGTGGCCCAGGCCGGTGTTGTGCAGGAGAGGTGCTACATCAGTGGGTGTGCTGGTCAGCAGGCACCACCCGTGCCCTCGGGGTGAAGGGCAGGAGCCCCAGGGCAGTTCCCCTGAACGCTACAGGTGGATGCAAAGGCAGGGCAGGCACAGGAGGCCCTGCAAGTCTCAGGATTAGCACCTCACTGCTGCCCACCACGCAGCGCACCGCAGCTGGGCAGGTGGCTGACCTGCAGCAGGGTCGGGGGCGGGGGACAGCAGGCCCTGTCCTCGGAGGGGGCACAGCGGGGCCAGGAAAATTCACATCTGGGAAACAACTGTGCCTTGCAGACCCCGGCCCAGCTCCCGGGGCAGAAGGCTGTGAGATCAAATAAAGGCTTCTCCCCAAGATGCAACTCCCCAGGTGCAGTGTGGGCAGTCCCCTGAGCCCCCCCTTACTGCGGCTGAGATCCATGCCCGGAAGAGCCTTGCTTTAACTGCTACTCATGCATGGCTATCTTTTCCCACCATTTCACTCTTTTGGTTTTTATGTAAATTGCACTCCCTGTAGGGAACACAGAGCTGAGTGGTGCCTTTTTTAAACATCAGCTGTGACAATGCCAGGTGCTAGACTGTTTACATCTGCTAGGATGGCCAGGGCCACCTTGCTTTGTCCTCCAATGGTCCCATCACCTTTCCCTGCTGGTCTCCCCTGTTCTGAGTATCCTACGGTCCCATCTTCTCTCTGGTCGGTTGTTAGCTGTATACAGCAGACTAACTAACGGCATTCTACCATCTTCGTATGAGAACCTTACAAGACAAGAGGCTCCAGCAGCTCACAGGCAATGCATCATAAAGCAGTTACGACGGGTTTAGAAGAATCCTGCACCAAAATATGCTTTTCCACTTTTTCATGAACTTTTTGAAGTGGCCTCAATTTACAATTTCTTCTCCACCAACTCTAAAGCTATTTTGCCTTTTATTTGCTTAACCACATGCATTAACTGCACAATAAAGGTACAATCTTTGTTTTCCAGTTACCGTAAGAATGGTTGAAACAACAGTCACTAATTCCCTTCTCTAGCACTTGTCGCTTGTCGTTTCCTCCAGGTCTCCCGTGCAGGTGCAGGGCCCCGTCCCCCACTGCTTTCCAGGGCCACAAGCAGGGAGCTGGGTGGGAAACAGACCCTCTGGGGTTGGAATCAGAGCCCATGGGAGGGGTTCACTAGACAGGCTTGAGGTGATGAATTGTAATCACCCTTGGACCAAATGACCTCTTATCAAATCCACTCCAGGGCTGCCCTTGCAGTATTCCCTCGGGAGTGAGCAGCACCCAAACCCTGCCAGGTCCCACCCATGGTCCCACCTTGCACCAACACCTTCGAGTAAACCACCCAGGTGCTCTGTCTGTTAAACCTTGATCCCATTTCCTATCCACCACTACCATGCATCCAAAGCAAAGCACCGCAGTGCCTCCCAAGCCCCAAATACAAGAGTAGATGGCATGTGTTCTTTCGTTCATGAATGACTGCAGCCCGCTCGAGCCTTGGAGAGTTCCCGGGCCGCTTGACGATGGTTGTGAATGCAGCAGGGCTGGGATCTGCCCACGTCCTCACACACACGTAGATCCGGCTCCACTGACAGCTGGCTCATGGCCGGTTTCCTGTCTCGGCATCACAGCCACAGCTTCATAGTGTGCGTGACTGTCTGCTTGCTGAGGCCCTAACTGCTCACACACACACTTGTCACATTCTTTCCGCGTGTGTACAGCTCAGGGACCTGGAACTTTGGGGCAGGCAGGAGGCCTTGCAAATGAGGCGGTGACTCTTCAGCCCCTAGTCTTCACCAGTGTCTCCTTCACCAGTCAGGCTCCTCCCATGCGTACCCCACTGTCCGCACTGCGTGACGAAAATAGAGTGTGCATTGCAGAGGATGAGCCGTCAGTGGTGAGAGGGCCAGCCCCTCTCTCATTCCTTGACGGTCTGTGAAGGCAGGCTCTGGTAGAGCAGTCAGGGAGACAGGGGACCCGAGACCACCTGGCCTCACCACCCAATTCTACTCAGTGAGACCACTCAGAAATATTTGCCCAGCACGTGTAAGTCAAGAAATCTCTTCAATCAAAAAAGCAAGATTTCTAAAAATATTTTATTTGAAAGGCAGATTTTATTTGAAAGGCAGATTGAAACAGCCCAGAAAAGGCCATGGAAAGCTACCCACTGGCATACAATTGGCTGACGTGGGGGCAAGACCAGGCTGAATCTGTCCACGTCATCCACTGGCAAATCCAGGCACCAGTGTGGGTCGACCTAGGGTCGGTCGCAACAAAGACTAGTGCACATTATGGAATGCCGAGGTGAGGTTGCCTGTACCGGAAGGGACCGCAGCGCCCTACCAGCCTGAGAACAAGAAAGGAAGTGGGCAGAGCCAGCAGGGGAATAAGGGAGGGTTCCTTTGCAGGATAGCTACTTCCGCAGGAGAGCATAGGCTGGGAAGGGGGCAGACCAGACTAGGCAGAGCTACCACACCTGTGCGCCTCACGAAGACTAGATCAGGGAAAAGCCGGGCTGGGCGGATTATTCCTACTGGTGCAAACAAAATTAAAGTGGGCGAGGGTTGTTTGGGCTTAGATGCAGCATCAGCTGGAATCTGGGAGTGGGAGAGGCCTGGGAGGGTAATAGTGGGCTCATCCCTCTTGGGTTACCACTTCCACAGGAGGACATAAAACTAAGATAGCGGCTGAGGTGGAATGGGGTGTGGGACAGGCTGGATTACTGCTACACTTACTAGCAAACCAGGGTAGGAGGTGGGCCTGGTGGGGGTTATTGTGGGTCGCTCCAACCTAGGCTGCAGCTTCCGCTGGTTTATGTGAGGACCAAGTATGTGCTGGGCAGAACCAGGCTGGACTGCAACACCCATTGGTTCCAGTGGAAGTCGGGAGTGAAAACAGAACCAACCCAGCAATTGCAACCACCAGCTGATTGGAGCGATGGACGGTGCCAGGCCCTGTACTTGTTAGTACATACAAGAAGTTTCTTTGGAGATCTTCCTAATCTAAATGTTGGACTTAAAACCCTAACGAAGAAAAGAGAGAAGACAGAACAGGTCAACCAACCATCTAAGCTATGATGGACTATGTCAATCAGTGGATTTTTCAAAGCCCTCATAGTGCTTGGAGTGGCAAGATTGGCAGCGATTCATAACTGTTGCAATATCAAAACCACTTGAGCAAGAACCTCAGAGCATGCCCTACATCCGGGACCTGGGGAGGGTGGGAAATTGGGTGGGCCTTCTCCCTTAATACCCCCCTTTAAACATGAAGGTAACAATATGGAAAACATACTAATCCACTTTCATGTAGCCCTTGAACCTTCTTACCCTAATTAACTATGTAAAGAATGTCAAAATAAAATTTTATAAAAAAAAAAAAGAAATCTCTTCAATCAAAAAAGCAAGATTTCTAAAAATATTTTATTTGAAAGGCAGATTTACAAAGAAAAGAGAGAAATAGATCTTCCATCTGCTGGTTAGTCCCCCAAACAGCTACAAGAGCTGCAGCAGAGCTGACTTGGAGCCTCGTCCAGGTCTCCCAGGCGGGTGCAGGGGCCCAAGCACTTGCGAGATCCTCCACTGTCTGCCAGGCCAAGCAGGGAGCTGGGTGAGAAGAGGAACAGCGGAGACACTAGCCGACGCCCACGTGGGACATCAGCGCTGCAGGTGGAAGCTTAGCCTATTACACCATGGCACTGGTCCCTCCTCCCCCCCAAAAATTAAATGGTGGTTTACAATACATCAACCCACCCAGAAAGCAAACTAAACTGATACTAAAACTGCAGGGTTTGTACTAGGGCAGGAAGAATTGCTTCAAAACTTAGAAACGTCAGAGCTGGCCTAGGCAGCCGAGCCAGCAGCGCCGACCAGGACGAAACAGCTTTTCTGAAAGCCTGGCCCCACCTCTTCCCCACCAGGAGCCTGCAGGGTCCCTGTCCCTCTGTGTGCCTGGCCAAGCCAGGCTGAGGGCAGGCTAGGTTGAGCTCACAGCAGGACTGTCCACTAGATGGAGAAATGGCCTGAGCTCTCACCGCTGCCAGGAGGGAACGTTTCAAACTGCGGCTCCTGTCAGCACACCTGGGACGCCTCCCAAGCCAGGTGCATCTCCCTACAGCCATGGCAATGACGTTGTGGGAACAGGCATTTCATAAAGCTATGCAAATTCACTTCCAGTTCTGCAGCCGATTAAATAGAACATTCTATGTTTACAGTAGACATAACAGGTGTTCCTTTGGGATAACTTAGCACCTCCAAAGCTCACAAGGAGAGGGCTGAGTAACCACTGCACCAGCCAGATTTGCATATTGCCTTTATTATGCGAAGATGCTTTCTGTCAATTTCTTTGGCTACTTTGTCAAAAGAAACATACAGAACAGTTGCAGGTTTCACAATACAGGAGATTAGCTACATACACTTTGAATGAACACCTTCCAGTGGACACAATACTCAAATTTCCAACTCAACCACAGCTTGCTGTGCCCAGCCATGATCACCTTCCATCCAGAACAGCTCAACTTCACTACGCAGAGAGCAACGAGGAGCTGCAGGCGGGAGCGGTCACCTCGCTCAGGCAGGGCCGGTGCAAGGGGAGCCGCGCCTAAGCCGTCAAGAAGCTAGGCAGAGCCTGGACACGGGCAGGCCAGGTGTCACTGTCCATCACGAGGAGCTGGGCCACCGGCCTGCTTTCCAAAGGTGATCCGCCAGGGTCCCAGGATGCTTCACTGCCCCTGCAGACCACAGCAAGGCACAGTGGGGTCTGGGCCAACGGTAAAGGTGACTCCTCGGTGCTGACAAGCTGTGTGTCCTTCCCCAACCCATGGGCCTGCACCCTGGCCCTGGGAGCTGGATCCGACCAGCGACAACCACCAGAAGCCACCGTGTCCTCCGTGCCAAGGCCTTGGTTCACATGGAGGGGGGTGGCACAGGCGTCCATGAAGCTAGAAGGCGGCCTTGGGCCGAGGCATCGTACTGGCTCTCAGGAATGTCCGTGACCATGGCAGCTCCTTCATACAGAGGGGACCCCGAGGAGGCAGCCGGGACGCCCTGGGGCAGGGGAGCGTAGTGTGCGGGCGAACCTCGGAAGAACTGGGTCCCCAGGCCGCTGGACACGGCGGCCGGCTGGGAGCCAGGAGTGATGGTGCCATTGTTCACCGACCACAGGCTGGGGTACTGGCTGGAAGGGAGGAAACACAAGGGTCAGAGGCTGGAAAGAGGCTGCAGGCGCTGAGGGGGGCAGCAGTGGGCTGGGGTAGGGGCAGGGGGACCGGCTCCCAGGCACCTCAGGGAGGGTATGGAAGGTCCTGTCCGGGAAGTGGGCATGGGCAGACACCGTCACCTGGAGCCAGTGGGCGGACTGCCATTGTGGAGCACGGTCCCATGAGCAGGCACCCCGAGGCCGGACCAAGTGTCAGGGGCTGGCAGCACGGGCAAGCAGGCCGAGGGGCTGTCGGGGTAGGCTAAGGACAGGAATGATGTGGAGTCAGGGAGGAGCCTTCTCAGGCTAGGGTCACCCAGCACAGCCCAGCACTGACAACAGACTGTGGACGGTCACCATGGACGTGACCCATCAGCCCGTCTGACCGCCAAACACACACTCTTAAAAATACGTCATCAAAGCAGATCGCACAGTCGCTTAGTTGGGGAGCCTTCCCCGTAATAAACATTTGTGAAAAGGTGTAATTACGCCCTTTATTGAGGGTCTCTCCATAGAGAAGATGGGCTCAGGCAGCCAGGCCTCTAGGAGCCTCAGGGCCAGCACGGTGAAGCAGCCGGCTGTGTCCCAACTGCCTCACTACCCATCCAGCTCCCTGCTTAGGGCCTGGATAGCAGCGGGCAGGGCCCAAGTGCCTGAGTCCCCACCTCGCATGTGGGAGAGACCCCGGAAGAAGCTCCTGGCTCCTGGCTTCAGGCCACTGCAGCCATCTGAGTGAACTAGCCAGTGCAAGGTCTGTCTTTCTTTCCCCCCTCTCTGCAGCTCTCTCTGCACAATTAATAAATACATCTCTTTTCAAAAATAAACAAAACTGTGATCTTGCCAGTCTCCGAGTCCAACCCGGGGCTGACCAAGTCCCAGGGTGTCCTGCCAGGCAGTGACTTTCCTAGATCACTTGAACAGCTTAATTGTTTTATGGTGTTCCCCAGCAATTTTCCTTCTGGAGCCAGACAAAGTGAAATCTGGGAATGGAGGGGGTGATGGAGGATTAGGGAGGGTCACACACACACACACACACACACACGCACACACACACACACACACACGCTGCCGGTCAGGGCTTCTGACCCAGCAGTCAGGGATGCCCCAGAGCAGGGTGGGGCAGGAGCCCACACCTGGGGTATCCCCAGGGTGCCCAGCTGTTGCAGCCTGACCACTGAAGACCTCTGGACCTGCCCCCTGGCTGGAGCTGGCAGCGGTGTAGACAGAAAGGATGCCTGGAGGAGGGGGCCCCACTCCCTACGGAGTGCCTCCCCCAGCCCCTCAACCCTTCAGCACCGCCCCCCCCCCCCCCCCGCCGGGCCTTACTGGGCGAGTTGTTCCGGTGAACGTAGGGGCTGGGGTAGGGCGCCGAGCGGTGGCTCCTCAGGGCTGGGTACCTCTCGCAGCCGTGGGCCGAGGGCAGGGGCAAGGAGCCTCCGAACTGTGGGTGGGGGCTGGCAGGTGGGCACAGGGTGCTGCTTCCTGGGAGGAGCCACCCCCCTGCTGTGGGTAAAGAATGCTGAGGAGCCAGAGGGCCAGCAGGGCCAGAGCACCAGCCCAGCTCGAAGCCCACCCTGTGGGACACCTGGGGGAGCAGCCGCCCAGCAGCCTCCTCTGTCCTCCCGTGACCCACCACTGCTCCCCAGGGCAGGGAGCAACCCACGGCAGAAGGAATGTGGCTTAAAGGCACAGAGGCAGGGGTCACACACGCCAGAGCGCCTCCAGTTCACACTCCTCTGTCCCAGCCTGCCCCTCAGGCACCCACTGTCCTTGCCTAAGGCTTCAGCGTGCTTGGAACTCACCCTGCCAACCTCTAAAACTTGTTGCCACCTATAACTTTTTAAAGATTTTTTTTAAGTCAGAAAAAAAAAGTCATCCCTTCAGGGGACAATTCTCTACTCCAATGTCTAAACTACAGACAACACTCAGGACACTACTGGAGAGGAAGAAGAGGGCGGCCGTGGCCAGCACGCCCAGCACGACACCTGTCCTGCCTCCTCCACTCCTAAGCAGAGGCCTGCGCCATGTCCCCCTCTGGGGGTGAGCAGCAAACAGGACCCCAGGGGCCACCAGCTGACAGTCTGCGCTGCCCTCCTGGTATAGGGTAGGGACCACAGCTCATCCAGATCACAGGGGCGACCAGACCACAGCCTTTGCTGGGCCTGGGGGGGACGGGGTCGGCTTCAGACCCTCGCCACCCTGCAGCCAAGACCAAGCCCAGAACCAACGTGGAACAAGCCTGGTCCCAAAGATGGCCCTCCAGTCTCTGCAACATAAACAAGCAGCCCCCACCCCAAAGAGGACAAGCAGAGGACCCGCCTTGGAAGGTGGTGTAGACTCCCGCACCAAGCTCTCAGGACCCAACAAGAACCTTGGGAGCTTCTCACCTGGCCTGGGTGAGCAGAGGCCCAAGGGGCCGGCTAGCCTCAGCCCAGGAGGCCCTGTGGGCTGCTCCCACCGACACCTCATCTCCCAACCCCTGGCCACGGAGGGCCATGGAACGCCATGGAACCCGTGAACATACGTTGGGAGTACCCCGGCTGCTGGCCGTCTGCTGGCTCCTCCATCACGTCCTTGTGGTCGCTTCTGCTGGGAGGGGCAGCGGGTCACTGAGCGAGCCAGGGCAGCCGGGCTCAGCTTCCGCTGCCGCCTCGCCCCAGAGCTAGTACTCTCTCACCTTTCCTTGGCATCCAGGAAAGCTTTGGCAAACGGGTTGTATTTGATTTTCAAAGCTGTGATCTGAGAAGCAAAAGATTCTATTCACTCACTGGCCACTTAGCCACGAGACGTAACTTGGAAAATGCCAGAAAACCCGCCGTCAGAGAGCGATAACCTAGCTTTTTCCGCGGTGCATCTTTTGTTAGGACAGCATGTACATAAAAAGCTGTAGCTGCCAGCTTTCCCAGCGTGAGTCACGCAGAGCCGAGCCTGCAGCCACCGCCAATCTTCCACCAGCCATGCTCCTACGGCGGCTCAGCCGACCTGGGGCTGCTGGGTACTAGTTGTCTGTTGTGCCCGATCCGCCACCCTGGGTGGGCCTGGGGCTCCTGTCCTTGCATCGCTTTGCACAGCACAGCTTTGGAAAGTCTGCCTCTCTCACACTGGCTTCCCCACTCCTCTGAGCGCCTAACCCCAAATCCCGAGTTTTTTCATTTTGTGCAATTAGTAGACACTTGCATTACACACACTTTCAGGGAGAACAAGCCAGATTTGCTTGAGGCTTGCTGAACCCATCATTGAGAAGCTCACCAAACCTCCGCCTGGGGAGTCAGTGGGCAGCCACCATCCCTCCCAGCCAGGCACTGGGTGCACGCTGCCCAAGAAGGCTCGGCCCGCACCTCTTCATTCTGGTAGGCTGTCACCGCAATGAACTGGGTCTCAGGAAAGCAGTGGCTGGTGATCATGCGTTGCGGGCCGCCCACTCTCACGATGTGAATCCGAGGCTCGTACTTGTGTAAGGAGTTCAACATGATCTGCCGGAGAGGACCAACCATCACAGCGCCCAACCCCAGGAAACGGCCAGTGGCCTTCCCCGCGCCCCTCGTGGCTCCCGGGGAGGGCCTGCTGGAGGCTCCTAGGCGCTTGGGGCTGGCTCCTGCCTCTCTGCCTCCGCTACCGCTCTCAGCCCGAAATCAACAGCAGTGCAGCCTGGCAGCGGTCACCCCCGGTCCCCACGGAGTCCCCACCAAGCCTCCCGCGCTCCGCCCGCCTCCGTCCATCGCGCCTACCTGGCCGCCCCCATTGAGCTTGTTGGTGAGCTTCACTTTGCTGAAGGAGACGGGCGCCTTCATCCAGTGCGCGCCAAAGTTGGGGGAGTCCGGGTGGATGTAGACGCAGCTGGGCGCCTGCGGCTCGGGCTTGCCGCCCGGCACCCACTCCCCGTTCACGAACTTCCAGCGGTGGCTGTCGGCCGCCACGAAGTCCAACAGGAAGGAGTACATGGCGTTGGGGTCCAGGCCGGACACATTCACCTTCAGTACCGGGAACATCCTCCTGGAAGACACGGACGCGCAGGAGGACCCTGGCTCTGACCCGCCAGGTCGGACTGAGGCGGATTCGTGGACACCAAGAGAGCCTCCCGCTCCAGTCTCCCAAGCTTCACCCGATTACTTCGGCCTCCGAGGCAGGGGCGGAGAGGATCTGACCAGCGGAATGCGCGCCACCAGGAGCTGTGGCTTGTAGCCCCAAGCAGAACGACCCTAGGGGTGCTCCCCACCGAGGACGAGGGGCAGCGGGGGCCCTCCCCGTCCCCAGACCCCGGACCGCCTACCTGCCGTTCTTGGTAACGATCATTTCATTGGTAAGCTCCTTAAAGCGCAGCCACAGCTCGCTCTCCTCCAGGCCGACGCGCAGCTGGCGCTCCGTGGGGTCCCCCTTCTCGCTGCCCGCCTGCAGCTCGCTCTCCACGGCGCTGAGCAGGTGGTCCACGCGGTACTGCAGGCTCTTCCCCGCGCTCTCGGCGCCCGGCGAGCCCATCTCCCTGCCCTGCCCGCCCCGCCGACCCTGCAGTCACGACTCGCTATCCACTTCAGTCCCTTGGCCGCCCGCGATGGCGGGTGCCTGGGTCCCAGGGCGCGAGTAGAGGGCCGGGATCGGGGGAAGGGGGCGGGGAAGGGGGGTGGGGGGAAAGAGGCTGTTCCACTTGAACTCCCCTGAGGCACACCTAGGGTTGGTCTCTGGGAAGAGAAATTGGGTCCCTACCCCATAAATAGAGCCGCGGCGGCCGCAGAGGGGGGCGCGGCGGATTGGGCCGCGCGCCCTTTGATGTGCTGGACAGCCGCTGCCCATTGGCCGCGCGCGGCCATATCAGACCCGGCCGGGCAGGCCGCGGAGGTCGGGGGCCAACAATGGGTTCCCGCGCGCCAGTTTCCTGTAAATCCCAGGCTCCGGCCCAGCCCCTACACCCCCGCCCTCTCCCAAATGTTTGCACCTCCATCAAAGCGGCGGGGCGGGCCCGCGGGTGCGGGAGGAAGGAGGGGAGTGGGCGCTGGAGCCCGCCCCGGCAGCACCTCGGCCAGGGGCTGCATAGCCGGGCTCCCGGTGCGCCCAGGGACCCCGCGGCTGCACCGGCCAGGGTGATCCCGCGGCGTTCACCTGAGCCCAGGCAGGACCGGCAGGACGCGTCTGAGTTCCTTCCCGGCCGGGAGCGCCCGGAGCACTGGCGCGCCGCGCCACCCTTGCTCGTCCCAAGGCCTGGGACACCTGTGCCGGAGCGCCCTGGCTCCGTGGCCTTCACCAGGCTGGAGAGGATCAGTCCGGCACGCCAGAAGAAAAATGGACGCAACTAGACCCGGGGCCCGCTTCTGGGGAGTTTGGTGGCTCCGCAGACGGACCTAGGAGCGGGTGGAGAGGTGTGGCGGGCGCAGCGGCCGTCGCGAGTGGGGCCCGGCGTGCCCCCGGAGAGCCGCGCTCCGGGCGCATTTCCGCGCCCCGCCGGTTGGTTTACGGCCTTTTCGTGAGGACTTCCCCGAGGAGAGTGGAGGAAAGGTGACAAGGAGTGGAAAATGGTTCCATGGGGTCTCTGCACAGCTGAGAGGATCCCGCGCGCACCCCGCCTCCACGCGCTAGGGAAGCAGCCGGCTCTGTGATTGCGGCCACGCGGCTGACAGTCCACGTGGGTCTCTCTGCCGCACACGGAACGGACGCCCCGCACGGACCCCTCCCCTATCCGCCACCGGGTCGGGGTGGCCCAGGGTTCAGCCACTGCCGGGCAAACTCCCGGAGAGCAGACGCGGCGTCTCCAGAGGGCTCCCGGAGGCGCGGGCGCAGGGAGGAAGGCCGGACGCGGGGCGCCACCGCGTTACGCTCCGCACTCCTCCCTCCCTTTTGTTGTCCAGGAAATTCCCCGGGGCGCCGGCTAGAAGGAGGCATCCCGGGACTAGAGGCACCAAAAGGACCTCATTTGCTCCTCCCGCCGCTGCCCGCCGGCTGGCGCGGCCCTGGCCTCCGGCGGGGGCGGGCACCGCAGCCGCCTCCGCAGGGAAAGTTAGCTGTTCCCGCAGTCGAGTTCGGGCGGGCAGCCCGGGGGAGCCTGCGCAGGCGGCAGGAGGGGCTCAGGCCGAGGCTGAAGGCCGCCACTCACGCCACGCAGGGTCGCGCGCTCCGCCACCGGCTCGGCCGGCGCCCAGGGGCTGGAGCGGACCTTCCCGCAGCCGCACAGCTGCTCTGGGGGAGCGGAGGCAGGCCGGCCGCCGAGCAACCTGCCCAGGCCTCCACCCGGCTTTCTGGCCCGGTCTCCCGGTGCTGCCGCGGCCCCCAGGTCGGCTCCCACGGCCGGGAATGACCATTTACAACCGAAAGCTTCCTCCAGCCCGCTGTAAAGACCCGGTCAATAGCCGCGGCTTCCTGGGGCGCCGGCCCAGGTGCTGCCAGCTGTTTGTCGCCCCAGAGGGCTGGGTCCCTGGGAAACGCAGCGGTTCAGAGAAAAATGGGGAGACGGCCTCCTCCCCCTAACAACCTAAGAAACGCCCAGTGGGAAAATCAGGCAGAGACACTCAGGAACGCAGATACACACAGAGACATTGGAACAGACAGACACACACGCACAACACACATGGCCTTCTGCGGTAGCAGACCTGTGTCCCTCGGCGTCGGCTCAGGACCGGCTGGGACAGCATGCGGGAAACCCTTTAAGTGTATCATACCTGAGCTCGTTGCATGTGTGACCGCGCTAATCGCGTACCAGAATGAGGCACTCGTCTTAGTCTCCTCACATACTCCCATTCCTTCTCAGCGCTCAGCATCCTCAATCACAAATTTCTTACTTTTCTAAAACGCCGCTTATGCTCGTGAGGTAGCGCAACAAGGAGGGGAGAGTGCCAGATCTTCCACAACAACTGCTTCACTCTCCAAATGGCTCCCACCGCATCCTGTGCCTTCCCCCCACCCCGCAGCTCCGTCTCCACCAGGCTTAGCCAGCCGCTGCTGCAGCCCCGGCCCTGGCACGTTTCTGCCGACACCTATGTTCTGTGCTCACTGGCGAGGTCTGTCAGCTTGTAGGCCGTGGACCAGTGTCCCTAGGCAGGGAGAGCGGAAGCCGGATAGAGGCATCCCTGCTCCTGTGTTGGTGTGTTTTCCTCGGGCTGGCGCTCCTGGGAAGTTCCACGAAAAGCATTCCCGGGGCCTGGCACCCCTTGCTCTGCCTCTCCTGAACCCCATCACAACTTCAGTGATGCTGCTGTTTAAACTGGTGGTGTAACCCCTTGGTCTCCTTAGCCCTGACCATTCTACAAGGTCACTGGGCTGGTTGGGGTGGTTGTGGTTTCAGTGACAAGGAAAGGACGGAGACAACTTGCTAAGCTGTTCCTGGGTGCCACAACCAGGAGCAGCCTACGCGTGGCAGCCACTCCAGCATGAGGGCTGCTGGCTGGCACTGTGAGCCTGGTGATACAGTCCTCTGAGCCACCCACCTGGGCCTCAGTCTCCTGGATTAGTCCAGACTCTCCACCCTCCCTGTCCAAGCCCTGGTGAGCCGGCACAGGAGACCACGTGGCTGGCTTAGTGGTGGAAGCTCACACACTCAAGACAGACATGGTTGGGCTGAGCTCCACACTGGCCTGCAGCATCTTCCCCTGCACACGTTTGTATTCAGGCTGGAGATGCGCGTGCCTGCCATGTGGGAGGGCACAGTGGCCTCCGCCAGACCGTCCACGTGCCTGCCACAGGGGTGAGCACAGTGGCCTCCGCCAGACCGTCCACGTGCCTGCCACAGGGGTGGGCACAGTGGCCTCTGCCAGACCATCCACGTGCCTGCCACAGGGGTGGGCACAGTGGCCTCTGCCCTGACCGTCCATGTACCTGCCACAGGGGTGGGCATACTATCCTCTGCCAGACCATCACCATGCCTGCCACGGGAGAGGACACAGTGGCCTCTGCCCTGACCGTCCCAGGGCGCTGGGTTCTGGTAGATGTTCAGAAGCAGCGGGCCTCTCAGCTTGCTCAGCGGGACACCTTGCCACCACTGAGTCTGCAGTTCAGGGGCTGGTGACGGTTCTGCCCAAGGGATTGCCAATCCTGGTCGCCCTGGTCCTGCCTCCATCCTGGGGGTGTTGAACACCTTTCTGTCAGCATCCTGTCTGCCTCGATGGCCCTAATTGGCTTGATTTCCTCTGCTGCTGACTGTGTCATGGCTTTGGCTCTGTGGCCACCCTCATTTCCCGTCCTTTACCATGTCAACCTCAGCAACAGTCTTTTAGCCAACCAAGCATCTGTTTCCATCTCTTACAGGCCTCTCTCAGGAGGCCAACAGATTTATTTATTTACTTATCTGATGGCAGGGTGACTGAGAGAGGAGGAGACAGACACGAGAGATCTAGCTGCTGGTCACACAGTGGCCACAGCCAGGCCTGAGTCTCTCCCAGCCTTCTGCCTGGGTGGCAGGGGCCCAGGCACTTGGGAGCCAGTCAGAAGCCAAGCAGCTGGGGGTGGACCAGCCCTCAGGTGGAGGACACTGGCGCTGCAGGTGCTCTGGGCTCCTCTCCCTGCACCTGTGGTGTGTCCCCTACATCTCCAGGCTTGCCCACACCCCCCGCAGACCCTGACGCCTTTCCCCACAGCGTTTTCTTCTCTTGCTTTCTCCTCTGTGACCAGCACACTCGCCCAGGCTTTGCTCTTGTATCTGAGAAGCTGGGCGACTCACCGTGGACTCCCCTCCCTGGCAAACGACTGGGATGCGAGTGGTACCATCCTCAGAATCTGCCTCAGAGTGACAACCGAGGCGCTGGACTAAACATCAACCAGCACACAAGATGCACAGGAAGCCGGGCAGCCCTGCTTGCCTCAGTCACGCACTGGCTGGTGCAGTCACTGGACATGGTGAGGGCAGGAGGCCTTAGAGCCGCTCCAGGGGAAATGTGAAGAGCTGCAAGGCACAGGGTATGCAAGCATGCCACAGACTTTCAAGGAGCTGGCATTGTGGTGTCGGAGGTTAAGCTGTACCTGCATGCCAGCATCCCATGGGACTGCTCCACTTCCAATCCAGCTTCTCATTAACATGCCTAGGAGAGCAGCGAAAGATGGCCCAAGTGCTTGGGCCCCGAGCCCATGTGGGAGACCTGGAGGAAGCTCCTGGCTATCCGCTGAGCTCTGGACACAGCAGCTACTTGGGGAGTGAACCAGCAGATGACAGATCTCTCTCTCTTTCTCTGCCTTTCAAATGAATCTTTATATACATACACACATATATATATATCTTCTAACCTAGAACAAACTTGTCTTCTAATTCCATTTCCAGTAGCTTGTTGAATAATCCTACCAGACACGCTCATTCTCCTTTCTCTAAAACCCACTTTCAGTGTCCTCCTTTGGCACTGAGTGGACCCAAGGCCATGGATCTGGTGTTCCAGAGTCTGCGTTGACAGGAAGCACAAGCCAAGAGCCAGAGTTGGAGCTCGAACCCCAGTCTTCAGCTGTTCGATGCTGCGGGGCCAAAAGCCTGCCTCGGCTTAGCTAGTTTTCAGACACAAGGAAAGTTTGCTATTCTATGTGATAGCAACAATAGGGACTGCGGAGGGAGAACAGCCCCTTACTCAAGGTGTAATCCAGTC